TGAAGGACTGAAATTAAACAAAAAAATTGATAAAATTATGTATGATTATGCTACATGCATGCCTACATGTACATGCCTGTATTCAACCTTTAAACATACATTGCAGATGTACATGTAACAAGTTTTCATACATGTTTTATGCATGTTTCCATTTTATGTAACAGAACAATTAAGATTAAAATATGCATGTATACATGTATTTCATCACGTTACATGAAACATGCATGTTTGTTTCAGTTGACACTTAAAGCATATTTATTGTACATGCATGTACATGCATATAAATAAGTATATGACAGTCAAACCTTGAAGTGAGTGATACCACATAAGATTCTGATGAATAAATGGTTTGTGACTTGCTTCCCTTTACATTACCAAGCTTCACTTTACCATCAGCTAAACCAAATATAAAGGTTGGCTGCTGTACAGGCCATATAAGGGTAGTAACAGCACTCTGTGGTAGAGAGAGGGGGGAGAGAGAAGGGGAGAGAGAGAGGGAGAGAAATGGGGAATGGATAATAAGAAGAAGATTAAAAAGAGAAAATGTACGGCATTAGAAATTTATAATTTAGAGAAAAGGGTATATTGTACATGTAGGAAAGGGTCTTACTTGTAATATGATTTTGTTGCAAATGACTTTCTTATCTCCCCTGTTGGTATAGATAAAAAAAAAACAAATACATATGTACATGTACATGTACAGAATGCATTTAAAGTCAAAGCATCTTACAAGTACATACATGTACACATACATTACAATACATGTAGTACATTCACATTTCATAATGGAGTAAATAAAATAAAGACATTATCCCACCTACCATTGCTCTCCTATCTTATAGACAAATATGATATTGTCAGACTGTCCAACAACAATCTTAGTGGAGTCTGGTGAGAACACTAGACCAGTAACCTGATAGCACTTCTTACCTAACTGTATGATAATAACAATAAGGAAAATATTAAATACAACTATACAAATAAATAAACAAAAGACAATATGAAAATATTATAATACATTCAATTATTATTATTATATAAACATTATTTTAAAAGTGCATATTTTATATGTACATGTACCACTTTTCAAATGTTAAATGGGCCACACAAAAAAATGCAATTTCAGAATCTGGGTAAGAGTGGAGGTATCCCATAATTATTATTCGATTAAAAAAGTCTTTTTCTTACGTCAGGGTTGGCAGGCTTTGTTGAAAACTTGTCTCTCTTCTCCCCATGCTCATCAAAGAGGAGTACAATCCTATCCACAGTACACACTGCTAGTTTGCTGTTATTAGGAGCCCAAGCGAGAGCTGTCACTTTGGATGGGCCATCCTAGGGAGGGATATTTCTAATTATCGCCCACCTTCAAAACAGAACTCACTTGAGGAGCAAGAAGTGTCCTAAGATGCTTCAACTGCATTGATCACAGTAAATTTTAAGTGATTGTATTTGAGCGGATTATCTTTGATTTGACTCAATTCTTTGATACTGGCCGAGAGGCCGTCCTGTTTCTTTACTCTGTTATTGCCTGTTACTATAGCAACCTTAAATTAAATGGGCGGGTCGTTAGATTTTAACCGCCAAATGGCGCCAATACAATGTTTGGTGGCATTTTAAAACCTAAATATCATCTTTTATTCATAAATTACATGAACAAAAATTTATGATAACTTTATCAAGTAATTTATTAAAATTTTATATTTCCACACAACACATAATAAGTACCAGCAATGTAAAATGCTTCAAGAGGTGTATCAATCACAGTACATAGGCGGCTGCAGGGGCAGGCAATGAGGGCAATGCCCTACTAGAATTTCTTACCGGAAGATGACATCATCATAATTAGCAGTTAATTAATAATTATTTAGTAGTTATTACATGGAATATAGCTATTTTAATGGCAATAACTATATTATTTTGCTCAACAAAGTGATAATTAGTGGAGAATAAGCTGCTAACTGCATGGTTAATTCAGAGTAAGCTTCATAGGTCCATATCTATGGTCACTTCAGGAAGGCATAATCTACAGTAACCTGCAGCATAGATATACGACTGTTATGCCTGCAGCTAGAATAACTGACTCTATCATAAAAGCAGCTTCATTATTAATCATCATAGTCAGCTAGGACTCATTCAACAGCTAAATCACTAGCTACTGATACTCTATCATTGATAGAGGTCTTTTAGGTACTGAATTTTCTCCTTTTGAACACAAGAATGGAAGAGTAACTCTTTATTGAGAATTTCAGAGCCTTTTTCAACTTGATTTCTTCACAAAATGCTGAAACAGTCTTAAAACTCAAGAACAAGACATGTGGGTGTGGTGATAAGCCACACCTACATTTTGACCACTCCCACTTTCAGCCACACCTTTGCCCTACTTGCAGTGAAATCCTGCAGCCGCCTATGTTTTCATATACTTAAAGTATTAATGTCTAAACACTGTAAAAAATTCTTGCACTTTGTGCAAGAATCTATGTTTGCAAAAAAATAATGAGACCCACCCAGTTTTGTACATCACGTGATCTAGTTAACTTTAAAACTGGAGCTGGCCAGCTAGGCTGCTGTGCCTATGGCGTCTAAAAGTAAGTCCTAATGTTACTATTCCAGTATCATGTGCTGTCAATCATTGATATATAGATCAACTGAAGGGAAGAGCCCATCACCGCACTGTATCAGTAGGTGATTCACTGTATGTGTGGGCTGGTCATCAGGATGGTTTACCTGAAGTACATGATAGTGAAGGGAAGAGAAGGATCACTAGTAATATACAGCACTTTACTCCTTCCACTGGTCAATGGATCACTAGAGGCACTACTGGTACTCCTCCATTAGGAGTGAGAGTATACTGCTGCACTGCAATAAATGATCAATTGTATTATTTTGGGGGCTATTGTGGCCATGACGACTGCCGTCACAACAGTATTACACAACTGGATACCGTTAGTCTTCAATGGAGAGAATTAGAACCAACTGATGCAACTAGACCAGTTATGAGGAGAGTTGCTGGTGGAATGATATCATTTGAACATGATGGAGTACACCATTTACTAATGATAGGAGGGTATGGATCTAAACCAGCTGTACAACTACCTCATTATAAATATATTGAGTTATCTGATGGAAAATGGCGTACTAATGAGCACTCAATGTATAATCTATCATCAAGTAAGATTTTATATTACTGTTTGAAATTATGTTAATAATAATAATTTAGGAAAATGGAGCAATCCTTCAATCATTGGTCAGTGTATACCACCTGCTAGTCACTTCATCATTGAAAAGATCAACAACACTAGAGCTGTTCTGTTTGGTGGAGTAGAGACTGATGATGATGATAAGAATACTGTTACTAACAATATTTATATATTAGAGATATCAATCAACACTGTGGTATGTTGAATTATGTGTACTGAATGTATGCACACACACACACCAGACTTGGGTCAAATACAACGTGGAAGTATTTAAATACAAATACAAATACTGTACAAAAACAAAAATACAAATACAAATACAAATACTGTTTTCAGCTTTGTATTTAAATACAATTACAAATACTGCATACATGTATTTCAATTACAAATACAAATACTTTCTTCTCAAGTATAGACAGCTATTAACTACGTAGTTTTATGAATTAATCAATCAAGTAAACTGAAAGCCTCTTTTTATTATGCATGCATGTATAATCAATAATATTTAGTTATAGTCATGTATTGCATTTAGTGAACGTTAGTGTTTCAAAGTTTTGTCACTCAAACAGCATCTTCATCCACATTGAAATATTTTAAAGTATTTTGCTGTATTTTGAAATACTTCCCTGCTGTATTTCAATTGCAAATACAAATACTTCCTGTTG